TTAATGTAGTATGGCGTATTGTCTATTGGCTATTTTAATATATAAGTTATTATATATTATAATTAATTAAATAAACGTATACGACATTGGTTTAATTATCTATGTCCTAAACTATCAAATACTTGACCTCACAAGAAAATTGTATTCAGATTTCCTTAATGGTGCATCATTTAAAATGACGTGTGTCCAAATTTATGTTGTATGCTTAGTACTAAGATGGTATAACATAATTGATTCTTGTTTACTGTACGAGTTAAATTCAAACGAACTGTATGTCACGTGGTCATTCGTTTTATTTACATCCGGCGGAACTGATAAATTAGCATATTGTAAGAAGATTGTTTGGCGACCAGTTCACTGAAACGAATTTAGCTACTTATTTTGGATACAGATATTAACGTGTAACGTGATATATCGTATATACTATCAATTATGGAAGTGTTATTTAAGGAGAAATGATAAATACATATTTTGAGCAACTGGAAAGTTAAGACAGCAGAGATCGAGATGAATATAGAATTATTAAATCTCTTAGGTACATTAAAAGTAAATTATTCTTATAATTATACGTATTACGTGTATTGTGTGTACATTATATTCAGCAATCGAATACCTAGATGACATTTCAAATAAATCGTAATTAAAACATAAATAATTTTGAAACTTGTAATGATTACTTAATATAGTTTATACAACGCATTCATTAAATGTATTAATTAACAGACTTCAGTCACTTTTATTATATCCCCTCATCTGTTATTTAAATAAGTCATATAAAATTGAAGAAATGACGTCGTCTCTACTTTATCGAAAAATGTAAATAATAATATTATTGTATTGTGGAAGTTGTATAGTTTTCATTATTCATGTGAAGTGATGCATTAGTTTCTCAATAATGTTTATTTTTATTATTATTGTTATTATTATTATTTATGTAAACAAAGGCTTAAAATGTTTTTAAGAATTATTATAGCTATTGTAAAGTAAAATATTTATAATTTTATTCTTTGTGTAGTTTGGTGAGATTTATTTTAACACATGTGTGCCGTAATGCGTTTTTTGTTTGATTTATTTAAGTGGCATAATGTTTCTATATGCTTTAATAATTTAATAACGATCTTCAAAGATTTCATAATATAAGTACCAAAATGTCAGGTGTTTATACAAATGTTTCCATAAATACTTTAACAACTTACAGCGTTATTCACTCCGATATGCTGTAAATCATAATAGTATTATGTCACCTTTACTGCGACAAGCAGTTTGTGTATATTTTTGTGTGATACGACCGAAAATCAAAGTGGATAGGTACAAAGGGGAATTATTGCAATTTAGAGAAAAGTGAAATATTATAATAGGTACCTTATAATTGATGACTGACATTTGATTTTATCATAAAGAATTGAAGTGACGTTGTGTTTATTTTACAAGTATTATTTATACCTATATGTGCTGTAAATGAATTGCATTATTTACTTTATGAGAGTATCTACATGGTTTTATTTTAATCCAATAATACGTTTTTATGGTATTGTAATAAATTATTTTTGATTTGAGTAAATTCTTAATAAAATAATAGTACCATGCGTCCATGCACCACAGTAAACATAATATAATTAAACTAAACATAATATTTTGATTTGGAAAATACATAAAAATGTTTAAACAGGTTTTTTTTAAAGTTAATTTTCATATATACCTAAACTACTAACCCACACATAATCTTAAAAATCAATAAATTTATAGCTACATTTAAAAAATTCAATTTTTCATTCTGTTGACATAAATAATAATAGTAAAGTTATTGTTTTTAAATATTTTTTTTCGTATTAAAAATAGGTTGACTGTTAAGACACATTGTAAGTATCATAATTAAGTGAAATCTTCTTCTAATAAGTTCGTATTTTAATAGAGTTCAAAAAAAGAAAAAAGAAATGTTTTACATTCAAAATGTGTGATCTTTTTAGCAAGATGCACGAGACAGTGAATTTCTAATAGCTTAGTTTTTATAATAACATACCACACGAAGGAAAAAAGCATTTAATCCTATAGACTCTTCTTTTGATTTTGTCTATTGCACCTAATTAATATTATCTCACTAAGGACTTTATTGAGTAAGGTTATATATTTTATAGTTTTGTATAGTATCAGAGAAATTCCTTATTTTTAATAAATTTAATGAATTGTATAAGATGCCAGTGTAATTACGTCGTCGTTAGGAGGATGCCGTAACACCTTTATAAAGTAGGCTTAGAAGTACGAAAAATTGTATAAATGAATATTCAATCAAATTAAATATTCTATTTACAGCGTTTACAAGGTAACAAAAACACGACGATAAAGTTTTGAAGTTTTGACACTACATTACTCGTATTTTGAAATAGAGGATCTAAAATTGTATCAGTTTGAGAATAGTATTATACATCAAATCATTAAAATATTATGAAGCTATAACCAATATTATTGTAATGCAGGACACAATATATTTTATGCTTTTTTATGTCATTTTAACTGAAAATACGACACGATTTTATTTTACTACAATTATTTATTTTTAGATTATTTTAACTGATTTAGATAATAATATATTTTAAAAAAAACTGAAACACAACATAATTTTATTTATTAGTAATTATTTAGTATTAGAGTAATAAAACAAATATTTCTGTAATAATTTGAATCAACTAAATTTCTTGTTGTTAGCTGTTACAGTCGGTTTTAAACACTTTTTGCAATGTTCAACCTATGTATGTGTAATTTGTTTAATAATACTGAATATACATATTACATACATAATAACTGGCTATAAACTATAAATTATAAATTAATAAATATAATAATAATTTATAAAATTATAAATTCATAGCTAGTTATTATGTATGTAATATGCTTATTCAGTATTAAAAAATAAATTACACATACATAGGTTTAACATTGCAACAAGTGTTTAGGGTAAAATAAGGATTCCGAAAATTTGAGAGTTCAGCAACTTTTAAAAGCAAACATTTTATTTTGTAATTATACCCGTATAAAAACACAAAGCAAAAATAAATTTCAGTAAATACTTCTATTAGAGTTGAAAATAAATAAAATAATAACGAATTATTAGTTGAAATAAATGTCAACAAAAATATGAAGTAATTATGTAATTATTTTAGAAAATTAAAGTTTCGTCTAGACTCTAGTATTATTTTTAAATAGCCTGGTGTTAAGTAAAAATCCTCGGACTTTATAATAACATCTATACACTTTGTCTATACCTCACGGAGGAATGTGAAATAAGAATTTATTTTAATATGTAGAAATGGTGGTATGAGGTTCTTAACATTAAACACAATACGGCTTAATGAGTAGACAATATTGTTATATTGTTGTTTAGGTGATAGAGTTGACTTTAAAATATTCATTGACGTTCTTTTTGTATCTTATATGATTCATTTGTCTCAAATTTTCACTGGCTACAATAATCATTTTCCTTCAGAAAATATTATGCCAAACAATAGTTAATTTAAACATTGGAGAAAATTTAGACTAAAGTTTTAAGTAACTATTACTAGTACAAAAAACCACAAACAGGGTTAAATAAAAACATGTGCAGAAACGATTTGAAATGTAAGCTGTTCATTGATTTTTAATCAAAATAATGATATTTAAGTAAGTATGAATACATTGGTAAATGAATAATATTGTTTATTTCTTTTTCTTTATTTCTTTATTTCTTTATTAACATGAAGTTATAATATTTTATTTTAAAAATCAATTTTATTAAGAATTGATAAATATTAAGACATAATTTTATTTCGTGAGATTAAATAGTATCAAAATACAAACTTTTCGTATTATGAGAACACGGTAATGGTAATCAAACATCAAATAACAAAATATCACATTCGGAATTTTCTACGAATTATAATTAAATAATAATATAATAATAATATTATATTGAATATGACTGGTTAACTTTTGATAAGTTTTTTTTTAATGATTTCAACTATTTAACTCTGAAATCATAATATTGCACCTCACCAGTAAACTAAATTTAAAATATGATAAAAATGATAATAATATATTATAAATATTGACTTCATAGAACTATTTGTAAGTACAATTAAACTTTGATTAAAAAAATGTTTTCATTGTTTGGGAATAATTTAACTTTTTTTGTCCAATATGTTCTATTATTACGGTAACTTGAATTATACTTATTTTTAATCTATTATTTAAATTATATATTTAATTTTATATTTATTTTGATATTTTATCAAATTACATTCATTTTTAACACTACACCGATAAACATATATACACAAGTAAAAACACCATTAGGAAATATATTTAGTACCTAAGTATCTGCTACGTAGTAATCGAGTTTACAAATTATATTTTATCTAGAGGTGACATAACTTCCTGTGACATTTTCGTGTTTTTGCTAAAACAATCTAAAAAAAATTTTAAAGTACACATAAAACAGCAATTGCGTAGACAAAATATACGGTGAAAATTATTATGTCTAAAAGACAAACGTCGGAAACCGAATAAAAAAGGACGCAGTGCGAATTTCCGATTCGGGATCAGACGAGAAAACATATAGTATCGTCGTGTGCGTACATACACAATATGCTATTATAATACCGGGAACTATTCGTTTCAAGTTCACAGGAGTTTTCCGCGAAACAAAATCTATCAAAAAACATTACTTGATGGTTTATTTTCGGATTACAAGTGCGTATACCATACAGGTGAACATATATAACATTATAATATACACGTATAATATGTAGAATACCAACGCCGCGCAGATACACCGGGACAAAGCACGGTGGCGGTGCTGAGCAAACGTACTGGGAAAAGCGGAAAGCCAATTCGGTAAACCGTATAATAATATATTTAGTGCCGCATAGGTCTACAGCGTGTATGCACAGCACACATACACTTAATAATAATAATAATATGATGTTATTTAATGCGAAGGAAAAATATATAAATATAATATAACATACAGTCGTCATCGGCACACACTTAATATTACGACATCGTTGCGGAAAAAAGATTTTCTTGACCGACACGCAATTTCCTAAATGTATACATCATCGTGTGTGCGTCGTCGCTGTGTCAGAGTCGGCGGCGGAAGATTGAACTCTCCTCGTGCGCGTCATCGGATCCGCGTCACTACTGGCCGCCGCAGCCGTTTCCACCTTCACAACCACCTCCACCATTGCCACCACCGTCACCTCGAAATACGTGATATTTTTAGACTTTTGGGGGCACAGCACACGCGTACGCGTATTTTGCCGGATGACGTCGGCGCAACGTTTTCGTGTCGTCTTACTGTTGAGCGCGCGTCTCTTATAGGTAGCTCTGTCGTTCCCCCCGACTAGGTGGGTTGAGGTGGGTTTACCGGCCGGATGTGGGGGAACGGTGGGCACCGGGGCCAGGACACACCCACAACAGACGCGGTTGGTCCACCACCGGAAACCCTCGGTACAAGGTCGTGCTCGGGCTCTGATCTGCAGTGTCTGCAGTGTCTCGTCGTCGGTTATTGCGCTGAGGTACATGGTGTGAAGCTGACGTGGTGGTTTCGAGTGAGTCTGTGGCAATTCGCATTATGTTCAGCCTGGTATTCTACGTTTTGGCTACCATGCATATCGTGTACTGTGTCTGGCAATCTGGCACGTGGTCTCAGGACGATCAAACAGCACCAAACCACCGCACCGCATCCAGAGACGATAACGCCGACAACGCCACCAACGTCAACAACACCGCCAACGCCGCCTAAGACACTGCCTCAGAGTCCAGTCGACCACCGCGAGCCCCCGCGGACTCTCGCAACAAATAAAATAATCTTATTAATTTAACCACAAACAAACACTATTATACACTTACAACCATATTATATCATAATTACAAATTATAAATACCATAATATTATTATAGCAACATTAAATTCTCCACGTTTTCTCAACAACAAAAATAATTTATATTACAAATTTCTTTAGCTTTCTTGTTACAACTCAATTGTCACAATAGCGACCACACGTGTGCTTTTTGTAATTTTTTTTCTCATATTTTTGCTAACCGTGCTTTTACTTCCCTACCGCTTCCGTGTCTCCGGTGGTATCTATGTTGATCAACACTTTCGAGATGCGTTTAGTCCGAGAGACAGCCACGGCATATTCTATGACGTTTACGATGCCCAATTTCCCAGCACTGAGATATATTCACCTCAACAAAATCACAGGAGTCGTCACGATCCGGACCGACAACTTTTTCTTTACGTGTAAATACCAGCAAAATAATTGTGCTAGTGTAACACATTGATAATTGTGTTGCTTAATAATCATAAATATTTTATTTTTATTTTCAGGTATACTCAATGACGACCAAATTAGAGGAGGGTCGTTCAGATGGGTTGGCGAAGGAGACGAATCAATTTCTATGGTACCACCGCCAGACTTGTAATGGTAATAACTTACCTAGTAATTATTTATAGAGGTACTTGACCTATAGAGCTCAGATCATTCCCTTCTGTCCCTTACATACAATCTTCAATCACTTTAATAATTATAAGCACAAAAATAAGTAGTTATTTAGTTAAAAAATAATACATTATGTATCACAAAAATACCATATAATGCACAAAAAAAAACTTTCTGGTATTTCAATAATAACAAAATATTACACATATATCACGGACAAATTATTGTATTCATTTTCAAATATATTTGTTTACCAATTTACCTCGGGAATGTTCAGAAGTATAATAAAAAATTAATCATTGATTTAGCGGAAAATAATTACCAATTGTAAGTTTCTTAAAAGTAAAACTAATTATAATATAATATTTAAAAGTCAATACATTATCGACTTAGGTAAAATATTTTATAATTATCTGAAACTGTAACATATTCACTTTAAAAGTTTTGTAAAAATATATAAATTTGGATAAAATTTAAATTGTTCTAACACTTCGATAAGTCGAGAATCTAAGACGTACGATTTAAAATTGTATTTCTATTTTTATACATTAAAAACTGAACATTCCTATATCAAACGAACTTTTATTTTATCTTAAATGTATAATATTGTCTAAATAGGTATATATTATATTCTTATAATTATCATTTTTTTGTATTATTATTATTATTATTATTAGTTTTTTTTTTAACTTTGTTTGACAATTATTATTACATCTGCATACAAAATTAAATCAATTATATTATTATGTTATATTATATTATGTTCTGTTATATTTTATATTCTATTGTGTTATTTTATATTATAATTTATATTATATAATTAACAATCATGGCTTAAATTAATTTTGTGGTATTATTGTTATTACTGTCAAATTATAATAAATTTTAAAAATAAAAGAGTCTTGTGTTATGTGATTGGAAAAAGCTACAATTGTATTATTAATATATAGGTACTGTATGTACATACCTCCTAATTATAATCAACATTTTAAGATCTTATAAATGGTTTATATGATGTTTAAGACTCTTACGTAATTAGTGGGAATGAATTAACGAAGTGTGCAAAAGGATATTACATTCTAGGTATGCATAAAAAACTATTATTATTCAAAATTAAGAAATTAGGAATTGAGAAATTAAGAATTATTTCTTACAGCAAAAATATAACATTATATTGTTATATTGTTTTTTATTTTTGTTATTTGTAGAATATTAAATATAAATTCCACGATAATATTATATTATCGACAAGAAGTTGTTGTCACTTACCACGTGTCAATATATACGCAATATAAAATGAATATGATATCGTAATTTATTAACGATGGACATGACGATATTATATAGAATAGAGTGTATCATAATAATAACTAGTGGACGGTGCACGTGCAATACGGTTCCACGAGAATGTCCGTCGACGCTTTTCCAGGCTCTCAAGGGGTGGTCGTTCACTAGTTCGGCGTCAACGTGATCAAGGCAAATGCGAAACGCACGCGAGCGCACGGCAGACTGAAAGAAAAACCCTCGTGGCCCGACGGCCGTCGATCTCGAGTAGGTAGTAATGTAGTGCTCGCATATAGGTGGTATATACTATTATTATTTGATATTTTGCCTGCGTGGTGAGCAGCGTAACTCAAAAGCGTGGAGAAGCTGTAAATAATAACAATAATAATAATAATAATAGTAATAATAGTAAAATATGTTATAATAGTATGTCTTAGTTTAAAACCAAAATGTAACTAATAATTTTTTTTATGTTGACGACAGTCATTTTTGAAATTTATCAACAATTTCATGGAAACTCCCAAATTTGAAAATTATATAATTATAAAATATGAAATATTCAGTTAAAATCTTAAAATGCGTAGTCAATAAAATATCTGTCAAAAAGTTATTACCAAACACCAAACCACCGTTTCTAAAACTCGCCCCGTATTATTTTCACCCGCTTTGGGGTTCTGTCGTTATTTGATTGATTCCACTCCTCCGAACTGAAACCGTCTGTATATTTGACCTAAGTAAACATAATACTGTATTGTAATAATAACTAATCATAATAATATTTTTATTTAATATCGGAATGAAATAAAACATGACTTTTTCAAGAGTCAACTCTTAAACTTAATATTCAAATAGGTGTGTCCAATCCATCTACGTTCTCTCTCATTTTGTGTCTGTTGGTTCGTTTCAGGAATATAGTTGTTAAATACAATCATCATAAAAATTTATTGCCATTCGTATACCTAAGTAATAGCAGGTATTTAATTTGGTTTCGCTTATAATAGTTATAGGACATAGACAAATCAATATCTCATTTAAATTGGATGTAAACCCAAAAAAGGACAAGGTACCTACCTACCTAGTTTATTGTTGTTTCTTCAACACATTTTCCTACATGATTGAATGAATAAATTATAACAAATACAGTTGAAACTACAATTAATATTTCCTAGCACAAAGTGATGTGCAAATTGTATTATCATTCTCTATTGGATTCTATTAATGTATAAATCATCCGTTATACATACATTTTAATACAATTACGCTTAATAAAAATGTCTCAATTTGTATGATATTTATCATATTTCCAGTAAAGCACTGAGTTGAAACTGCTTAAATTGCCTAATTCCATTTAATTGTAAAAAGGTTTAGATAATTTCAATGTTATATTAAAACATTTGGTACCTAACTTCAGAAATAAATAAGTGAATGAATGTACCTAGAACAATGAGGATTGCCACAAATAATAATATGGAATGTGAATGTATAATATGAAATAAATGGAAATAAGTGCAAGGGAAATATTGTACCTTGAGTCATGTGTATACTGAATAGCATATTATGGAACATCAATGAAAGATTTTTTACAAAAATGTTGAATAATTTTTACTATGATTTATCGATAAGGAGACTCTATATTTCTTTCATTCAAGTCAACAATTTTGTCAAATACGTTAAAAACTTTTAAACAATCTGTAAAAGTTAAGTCAATCGGTACTACATATTATAATACTTGCTTTACATAGGCACATTAATAAAATAATCTGAAACAAAAAGAATATATAATATATAAGTGAACACAAACAGTTAATTTCTGAAGTGCCCAACTGCTGGAAATCTTGGTAAACAATGAACAAATAACCTAAATAAAAAATACCACTGTGCAACATTAATACGTATATGAATAAAATATGTCTTAAAATGCATTTCGTATAATTTTCAATTTGAAGTTAGTTTTTTTGGTTAAATAAATAGCCGTTTTTATAAGAGTTTAAGTTACTCATTTGGGTAATATTAATATTAAAATAGGTATAGCAATTATATTGGTAAAATTGTGTTGATAATATAATATAATAGATAATTTATATTTGTGATTAGGTAACGTAATATTTAAGATATTTTTACATACATTTCATTATTACATTAACTATAAAAAGGGGTAGGTGCTAAGCAAACCTAACCTTATCACTCTAATATACAGAAGGAGTCGAATGTCTAAGTGCATCGTCATTCATTATTTAGTAGATCACTGTAAAATATGTGTTAAATGTGAATTCAATGTTAGATCATTGCATTCGAAAATTGATTCTGAGAGGGACAGTCTATCAGCCAATTATAATATAAATATATTCATTGCTTCTAA